CATCCGGCTCTCTCAACATCAGCATCCGAATTAACAACTTTTGAAAGATAGTTACGTTTTTTCAAAATAACATTTAGTCATAGAGGAAATGTTAGCAAACTAAGCCAAATACATAACATGTGTCCAATTACTGTATTTTTTGGACTATAAGTCGCACTTTTTTCATGGTTTGGGTGGTCCTGCGACTTATATATTAAAATTTCCAGACTGACAACCATGAGAGGGCGCGCTAAGCTTGTATGTCAGTATCTAGTACTACTTTTTCTCCTGTACCACTGTCACTTTGCACTCTACTGCGCATGCCTCATGTAGAAATAACTGCTGTCTCGCTGCAAATAGTGAAATATTCAGCCGAAAACGGTAATCGAGCGGCAGAAAGAAAGTCTGGAGTGAGTGAGAAACTTGTGATTGACTGGCGGAAAGCGAAGAACACAGCTTCACGGCAACTGGGTGTGTGAGCCATGTAACTTTCCTGGAAGTCACTGGATGAATGGACTAAGCCTGAACTTCAATGACAATCGAAACCATCCTGTCGGGATTCAGAAAGGCGAAGACAGCTACACAGAAGAGGAAGAGATGCTCCGTTTACCTCATGGATCTATGGTTTATCTCCAGAGGTCACGCAGAAGTGACACCGAGGATTCAGATTCATTCATTTTAGTTATTTAGTTATTTATGCTCGGCCTGTTTGTCTTCTGTACCTCTCGCTTAACAAAGGGGATTTTGCTTTGATGGCGCTCCACATAAAAAATGTTTGCTGCAAACTCGGGAAGATTTTTTAGGTAGCCAAAGGTTACCTTTTTCGTCCTTCCTGAGTAGCAATACTGCCCTTCACCTTTCACTATTTTTCAATTCTGTTGGGAAGGGAAACCATTTTAACAGAGGTTTGCAGTCACACAGATCTGATTCCCTTTTGCATTTATGGAGTTCGCAAACTTCCGAAGACCATTTCTTGAGCTGTTTTCCACTGTTAGGACATCTAAAAACCACACAATTACGATATCTGAATCCCGTAACTAAAATATGACAAAATCAGAACCAGAAACAAAAGTGATATGGTTCAAAAGACTTGAAAAGACTCGCTTTGTCAATAGACACATCCCACTGGGAAAACAAACATGGCGGTGTGATGCTCACTTTTTCGGAAAATCCTTCCCAGTATGCATTGTGCAATGAACAGAAGTCCAAAATTTGTGATGCATGTATCACTTATGAAACTGCGCTACCTGAAACACCCAGTGGGTGTTCTTGTATCATGATAGAAACGCCCAGGCCACAGCTGGACCCTTCTCGAACAAAACAAAACACAACTCCAGGTATGTTTTTGATCAGTAAACAACATTATAACATAGATCAGAAAATGGCATAGCAAATACAGGCCCTGTTTTTCAGCTTTTTCACAAAAAGTTTCAGTTGTCCATTTGACCACAACTTCTGTTTCTGATCACTGAAGCTCTTAAATGGCCTTTCATATGGATCATCTCCTGCAAACAAAACAACTTTGATGCTCACAGCTCAGGAAATGTACATTTTGTTGTCTCTGCAGGAAAATGTATTTGTTCCATCTCTGAGTGTGACTGAGGAGTTGTCAGAAGCGGTGGGTGAATACACTGCAGTGGGCGGGAACCAATGTCCAGATTTTGAGCTAGGTTTTGGTTTCCTAAACTCAAACACATACATTTAAATATATTTCAAATCACATTTTTCATTTAGAAATGTCATGTGAAATGTATGCAAATTATTTTCTTTGGATTTGCATAAAATAGAGAATACATAAAAACGAAACATAATATATTTAAATAGGATCAACATTTTCTTTTCTGAGAGTAGGTAGGTTTAGGTATTCATGGGATCTATCTACACAGGAGAACATGCAAACTGTTGTGTTTAGCCTCCTTTAAAGGGCCCATATTATTCTATTTTCTGATCTATGGTATAAAGTTGTTTCCTCATCAAAAACATACTTGGAGTTTTGTTTTGATTCATTCATTTGCACATATTTGACACACAAACCCACCATATTTACATATTTTCACACCATATCTCTCAAATGGAAAATGCTTTGTTCCACCGTCCGATGTCATGTGGTGATACAGGAAGTGCTCCACTATGATTTTAAACTCCATACATCTTGACTAGAATAATTTGGATAATTTCAACCCTAGATTTTCCAATCTCTACTGAAGTAAAGGTAAAAGGTAGCTGTTAACTTGAAAGCTACTACTACATGACATCACAAGGTGGTACAGAGCATTTATGTGTACATTAAATGTAATGTAATGTAATGACAGGGTAATAAAAAAGGGTTACTCAAACATGAGTGAATGAAACAAAAGACAACTCTAAGTATGTTTTTGATGAGGTAACAACATTCTACCATAACTTAAAGCTCACGAGAATGCTTTTGTGTAATATAGGACCTTTAACAGGGTAGGGGTCTTTAAAATCTTAAAAAGATTTTAAATTTCATGTTCTTAAATTAAGCCTTAAAAAGTCTTAAATTATGTTGTCCAAATCTTATTTTTTTGTCACAAAAATTTTAATAACCAATCACTTAAATTTATCAATTTACTCAACTGCAGTGCAAAGTTAAACGGAGAGAGGAAAAAAAAAAAACAACAACGTGAAATCGTAACGTGAATGAACATCTAATCTGGAGTATGCGCAAACAATACTTTGGTTTCTGGCACTGGCAGCAGTGAGTAAACAATCAGTACAGTGAGCAGCAGTTTATTGTTGTTGAAAATGTTAAATAATTGAAGCACTTTGAAAGACAATGTGAGACAAGACAATGTGAAAGGTTAGTTTGTCTTGTTAGAATGTTATAAATGATGTTTGGCTATTTTACAAGCAATGCATACTATTATAAATGAGTTCAGAATGAGATTTTATAATAAAAGTATTTTTTGTTATTTAAAGCAGTGAGCAATGGTCATTATTAGAATTGGGTCTGGTGTTTTTTGCCCGCATAATTGGTGCGATGTTGGTCTTAATTTCCATTAAAGTGGTCTTAAAAAGGTCTTTAAAAAGTCCTAAATTTGGGGTAGTTAAACCTGGGGCTACCCTGTTTAAACAGCTTCAGACTATAATTCCAAGATGGTTTTATAAATAAATAATCATCAAGAATAACTTTCCCCAAATATAGACATTCTTTAAGTCATAAAACCTGAAATATGAATGTATAGGTGTCCAAAAGTACATTACAAGTCTTGAATAAAACATTAACTTTTCCAACTTCTGACATACTTTTGACAAGTTCTTCTCTGGTGGTGTAAGTAAAAATCATTCACTTGTAGCTTTCTTCGTTCTTCCAAAAGGGCCTCTTCGAACCAGCGTGACAACAAACCCAGACACTTAGGCGTTCGGGAGCCGAGGGACCATCTGAAAGTGTGTGAGTGGAGCACGAGAGAGGCTCCAGGCGTTTCATGTTCCCAGGAGAGGACAACTATTCCACGCAGTGACACAGCTCTTAAGTAAGTGTGAGACGCCTGGATAAAGTTTGATGAAGTTTACTGTAAGTCCTAGAGCAAGCTCCACTCACTCAGTAGAGGGATGTGTACGCACTGTGAAGACTACCAGTTTGGATTATGTATTCTTCAGGAATTTTAAACTTTTGGAACACCTTAGAATTGGGCTTTCAGATCCTGTAACTTAAATATGTATATGTATATATTAGAGATGTAACAATAACTGAAGTATCGTGATATTGCATCATCAAAAGTCTTACAATAATATCGGAGGCCATCATAATATATCGAATTACAAGTCGCTTTGCTTAAATTAACAGTTATGGTGATTCTAATGTTTTTATGTGTGATTTTAATGTCTTTCTTATTCTCTAAAGCTCTAGAATGACTTTGTGTATAGACTGTGGTATACAAATAAACTTGCCTTCCCTTACCTTGGTGTAGCAATTGTTAGAAAAAACCCAAGGAACTACATAGACCATGATCCTTTGGTGTTGTCAGTGCAGACTACATGAAGAAATAGTTGTTATTAAGCAGTTTTTAATTCTTCATTCTTCATATTATGACAGCACCAAAGGCTTTTAAAAGGAAAAAAAGTAGCATATTTTGTTAGCGTCCACAAAATATCGCAATAAATATCGTACCGTGGCATGCATATCGTGAAAACATTGCATCGAGGGATTTCGATGTTGTTACATCCCTAGTATATATATATATATGTAGATATGTTTTCTTGCGTTCTATGACATAAGAAGAGGATGCAGGATTCCAGTCTCTGACACAGTGAAAATTGGAACAGTTTCATTTGAGCTAAAGACGCTAAGATCAAAGTTGGTTAACTGCATAAAGAAATTTGTAGGACTGTAGTTGATGGGGCGTGGCAAAAGCTCTCAAAATTATTCTGATCTGACCCAAACTGCACTCACAAGACTCCATCTGCTCAGGAGTTCGTGGAAAAACAACTATTTATGCAGAAAAAAAGTATAAGGAAACAATGTATTTATATAAAGACAGATTCAATTCGTCAATCAGTTTAATATGCTTTTTTTTTCCCATATAAATACTAAAACCTACCAAATCTTCAGCTCATTCTAGCTTCTCCTTTCTGCTCTTCTTTAATTTGTTAAATAGTAACTCATTATTTTATATTATGTGAACTGAAACTACAACTCTGAACCAATAACTTTTTTTTTTTAAGTATACCGCTTACATAGATCAAAAGAATAGTTAGTGCCAAGCCACCCTAACCAGGATATTTTGGAGGTAAGGAAACCCAAAACACTCAGAAAAAAGCCTACACAGACATGGGGAGAACCCAAAAACACTCACTCAAGGTCCCAAAACCTTGTTGCTGAGAGGCAAGAGCACTAACCACTAAACCACCGTTCCACCATGTCTCCACTCTTAAAAACTTCATGCTTACAAACCAAGAACAACCAAAACATACCACGAGGCAGGGACAGTATTGCGATCCTCAAGTTCCACCTGAACAAAAAACGCTTTCATAAAAACATGGAGCGTGGTCTCACTTACCAAGAGGTTGCCCGGCGATTATCCTCGCGTTCTCGCCCGCCACCGCCGCTCTTGCGTTCCTCTCGTTCATGTACTGGACGAAAGCGTAGCCCTTGTGCACGGAGCAGCCCACGATCTTGCCGTACTTGGCGAATATGACCTCGATGTCACTCTTCTTGACGATGGCCGTGTTGAGGTTTCCGATGAAGACTCTGGAGTTGAGGGAGCGTGGGTCATTCTTGTTGGTCACGTTGCTGGTTTGGGTTTTACCAGTCATCCTCCTCGGCTGGCCCTCCTGGCACACACACAGAGGGGGGAGGGAGGGCGCGGTTTAGAAGAGAGCTCCAGCTAGTTCTGCGCTCCTTGGGGAAAACACAAGGTTAGTACTGGTCCCTGACTGTACTGGACTGACTATGTTTCCAGTCACTACCATCCATAGCAATTGAGTAACCAAGATTCAGTTCAAGTTAGCTTTGAGCATTGATAAAGGCTTCTAGATGGGCGCTTAAAACATAGATGACCAGCTTTGAAACCTCTGGCACCATGGACAGAATGCCAATACCACCATGCACAGTAATGAAGTCCATATAACAGTTATATTAAATTGTAAATGTATTCTAAATTGTATTGATTTGATGATATTGCACTTGTGCAGGTGCACTTCTTGTCAAAATCTGCATTTGACCCAACCTTCAAGGCCACCGGGGCAACCTGCTAGGAGCACTGGGCATCACAGTGCAACAACTGGGGACCCATCTCCAGATCTTGAGCTAGTCAGGGCCACCTTAGCTGGAGGATTTTACCAGTGGTTCATGTTTTGGGTTGATGGGAGAAGCCAGAGTACTAGGGATGTAACAATAACCGAAATATGTTGATATTGTATCATCCAAGTATCGTCAAATAATATCGTGGACTATCACAATATATCGAATTACAAGTCTCTTTGCTTAAATTAAGAGTTATGGTGCAGCAATAGTGAGAAAAAGACATAGACCATGATCATTTGCTCCATTTCAGTGTAGACTACAAGAAGAAATAACAGTTCTAAGCACTTTTAAGTCTTAGTTCTTTGGATTAAGTCTTGTTAAGGCATTTTAAAAGGAAAAAGTATCATATTAACAGTTTTGTTAGCCTTCACAAAATATCGCAATAAATATCGTACCATGAGATGCATATTGTGAAAATATCATATAGAGAGATTTGGATATTGTTACATCCCTAATCGTGAAACTCCCCCCATATCATGAGCTTTCCAAAGATATCGCAATAAATATCGTACCATGAGGTTCATACGATGACGATATCATATCGTGAGACTTGGATATCGATTACACCCCTACAGAGTACCCATAAGAAACCCACCCAGACCTCTGATGAAGTTTTGTAGTGCACACCAAAGTAGAAGTACTTAATCCAATGAGGTTCATTTGGACTTTCGATAATTTATGTTATTAGGTTCTTTTTTCAGACCAAGAGTTTATGTTCTCATACGTGACAATTTCGACTGCACACTAGTGGTCTTTCTCAGAGTGGTCATGTGATGTTGCTGTGATGTTTTACTCTCACACTCCAGGGATATTGTCCTGAGGAAGCCGCGCTGCAGATGGTGCTGTCATCCTGCCTCCACCGGTAGGAAGACAGTGCCAAAAAATGTTTAAATCAGCTGACCGGACACGTCACAGCAACATCACATGGCCACTCTAAGAAACTGTCATGTATGAAAGTATGAAAACCAAACTCTTGGTCTGAAAAAAACCAACAACAAAAAACATAAGTAGAAGTACTTTCTTACAATATTCCCTTTAAAATGATCTGAGCTAATCTTCTTACATGTTGTATGTCTACAGATATAAAATAAAATCCACCACTATGTAATGCATCAGAACTATTGTATTCATTAATAATTCCTTTGTATATATTGTCTGAATGTTGTTCTATAACATAACTTGGCTTGAATGTGTGCTCCCCTTCTTGAGGATACCAACGTCAAACCTCTGTAGAACCACATAAGAACACATGCTTTTATTATTTTATATAGAGTCAAAACGGAATGCCTAATATGTAACCAGATCAAGATGATGACTTAAACATGCACAGATGAACCAAAAATAGTCTCGTTTTTACAACAAACAACTTGGCTTTCTATTAGCTCTGTGCTTTGTCACCGGTTACCTCAGCTCCACTTTGCTGCGAGGGAGCTGAGCGAGCAGAGGAGTGACACATGAGGAGGCTGTTTCCTTTGTGCAAACCCAAAAGTGCAGCTGCCACGGGGAATGCTACGCTATCTCCATAACCCCATTGTTGAGCTGCTAATGTTCCCTTTTCTGTGCCGTTTGACAGATCTCTCCGGAGTCAGGACGTGGGCTGAAAATCATGTTTCACTTTTACTCTGTGCGTCTCTGCTGTCAACCTATCACAGAGAGTTAGCCCCCTGCAACCTCAACAGGGCCGACTTCACTGTAATTATTTCCAAGTGACCCTTACGTAACTCAAACATTAGCTGGTGTCTTTAACGGCATCGATGCAGCGTGGCGTTTACAGTGGGTGAAAGGCAAAGTGAGCTAATGTATGTGAAATCAAGTACATGGTAAGGTCCTACATTACATAAAATTTACTTATATATTAAATGTGTTTTCTGTTTGAGAGAATAAATATGCAGGGTTTGTGTGTTAAATGTGTGAATGAAACAAAACACAACTGCAGGTATGTTTTGATGAAGAAACAACATTATAACCTACATCAGAAAATAGCGTAATATGGACCCTTTCTTTGTTAAAGTGAAACAAAATACTAAAACGTTTTTGCTGCTAAACTGTGTATGTGGTGTTGTAAAAGCGTCGTCTCTAGTTCCAAGGTGTTCTTGGTCATTTTGGTGCACACTATTTGCACAAATTTGCCGCTTGATGTTAAAAACTACTGTGTGTGCTGCCGCAACTGCGATGTCAAGTACTACGTGACATCACACATGACTTAGCCTGATTCATCAGCCGGTTTCACTTCGTGGAAACCGTCTGACCGTCTCAGCATTAGGATTTGTTCACTTGACGGCAGGCGGGTACTTTTTTATTTAACTAGTCACTGCTATTTGGTCATGATGTATGTAATGCTTTTCCCAAATCCCATAGGAAGAAGGACAATAACGTCTTTCCCCTTGTTAAAATTCACCAAACATTCTCTTTGTTCCGGCTTTAAATCCCCGATCTTGGGAATCACTGCCAACACAGAATTTATAACTCTTCACTGATTGGCTGATGCCCGGACTCGCACTTCCAGGGTTCTTGCAAACCGTCCAGTGTATTCCAATTCCGGATCTAGTCGCTGGAGAGAAATGAAATTGAGTGGCACCAGCCTGGCTACACTGGACTGCCCTGAAGTGTGGATACCTTTTAGAACAAAATTGCATTATCGCTGATTTCCGTAGAACATGTTAAAAAAGTCTTCACTGGTTGTATTTCATATACTTGTTTCCATTTTGTTTGATAAAATCACCATTATAAATACTGCAACAGCATTATTTCAAAGTGCATTATTAAATGACATAAGGTAATTGGTTAAAACAACAGTGTGAGAGCCAGATGTACTCCGGCAGATTTTAAGAGACTCTGAGCCTGACAGCCTGTTATTTTTGATTTCTTCAGCTGTTGTTTCATCTGCTCTGATAAACACCACATGCTCTTTTCATGACTCAGAAATACCTTTTATTTGGCGATAGTATTTTTATGACTCCATTACGGCACCCCACTTTGTGTTCAATTTGCAGTAATTAAAATTTCACTCTGGTCTGACTGTCTATTTGCAGCAGAAATTGTAAGTGAGTGTGTTCAGATCTGGGCATAACAACAGAGTCAGGTAATTGGCTTTTGACTCTGGTTCCTTTAAACAGTGCTATTTTTTAATTTATCTCATTTTATCTACATGAAATGAAAAGCCCTTGCCAGTACAGATATACTGTAAACAGCTCTTGAGGTCAAAATATATCCAATATATGCTGTCTAAATTAAGTTATAATTAGATTCGAACAGAATGTTATATTATATTGTCTGAGAATTAAAAAATGAGAGCTAGTATGCTAGTTGTTGTTAGAATTACCATGATGCTCAGAAAGCATGAGTTAAGTGAGGAATAACTTGGGACCACTGTTAGCAGTTAGTGGTTAATCTGCAACCAAGTCATCTGGCTCTCCCCAGTCTGGTCTGTGTGGCCCTCTGAACTGAGCTCTGCACATCAATCTGAAAATGCTCTCACTGAAAGTTTTTGTAGCCAATGATCTGAGTGTTCAAACAAATACTTCACTCTGACTGGTCAAAGCCTCACAACAGCGGAACAAGACGACAAATCAAACTTGAGTGAAATCCAGTTGAAAAAAACGCACATGCATCTTACCTGTCCACAAATATATGAAGCACTTCCCTCTACTGTACAAATACACAAAGACTATTGTGTTTTTCACAAACATAATAGTTGTTTATCCACTGAAAAAGGCTCAAGTACGCCTGTCTCCGTGTTTGTTTTGGTTTGTTTGGACCTGACTTCCGCCCAAATCACAGTGCTGCTCTGTGATTGGTCAGTTTCTGCATCACTAAAATTCATCTCGCTGGCAAGACTAACAACTAAGACCTTTGAAATCCAGGTGCATGAGCCAATCAGGAGTGATGTTGTTGAAGGTTTTCGCCCTTCCTGCTCTAATACTAGTTTGACAGGGGCAAGTGTCTAGCAACGAGCCTTGATAGCTGTCAATCAAACCTGCTGCTAACGCTAGTGGAGATGACCTTGGGGAATTGATCATTATGTTGATTTTGTTATATGTTAATATGAACATTTTAAGGTCAGAATAATGAGCCGGAAATAGGTCGGTACAAAAAAAGGGGGTCTAATTTTTCAATAGAGGTCAACTGGAACCAGACGTCAAAAGAACCACTTCATATCTGTGTCACTTTCTCTTTAGAACACAATGGCTATCAGGCTAGCTGTGCCCATTCATATAGTCTATATTATGAACCTAGAACCGCTCTGTTCAGGAGAATTGGCTTTTTCTGCAGGGGCTTTAATGTAATTTTGTTTGTCCATATACAAAAACAAGCAAAGCTTTTTCTTGCTACTCACTGTAATTAAGTGATCCAATTTAAATAATGAATTCCAGTATTGTTTGCTTATTTGTCTCTAGTGTTTTAATCCTCTTAGCCTTTTTTTTTTTTTTCCTTTTACAGCGCCATTCCTTTAGAAACCATTTGATTCTATAGTTTCCATTATAACCATAAATTACATTCCCTCTTTTGTATACCGCCTAAT